ACCATTCTATGGGGAGCAGTGGGTTGGGCTTATCCTAGTCTCTCCACGACTAACACAGGCCTTTCCAGAGAGCGACGCTCAATAAATGCTTCCAGAATCCACGAGCCTGTGAGCAGTGGTTTCATTTATTGAGATGTAATTTCTCCTAGATCTTTGAAGAACAGAAGCAAATCCAGGTATACATATATATTTTAATTTCAAAGAACAACAGACTTAAGGAGAAAAAGAAGCCAAAAATTAATCATTTCTTATTTTTTTCTCTATTTTTGACCTCAAGTTATTTTATTAAGTTTTTCATATTTCCGAGTAAATTCCTATTCCAATACCATGCTATCTTATTCCAGACCACAAAATAAGATGGAAGGTTTTCCAATTTGTTTTATGAAATAGCAAAACTTTTACTCCTGAACTGGATAAAGAGTAACAAATATGTGATCAATGTCATTCGTGAACTTAGTTTCTTAAGCTAATTAAACCTTCCATTTAAAGGGATAACATTTGAAAAATTCAAAACTGAAAACAAGAGAAAGCTCCAGCTAAGCCCTATGGAACAGGAAACCAACGCTGTGACTCACTCTATTTCCCCTAGCCCCACACTATCTTTCTACTTAAAACATTGACTGCTATTTTCAAACACGGTGAAGAATCTACCTTAGACTTCATTTGGGGTTAGAGAAGCTTCAAGGTGTGGCCCTAGAACTGGTACTGGCCATGACAGAAGTGCCATTTAAGGTGGCAATTCTGGCCTGGGCTCTCTCTTCCTCATCTCTCAAAGCCTCCTCATACAAGTATGGGAATAAACTGGGGACAGTAATATTGAACTTGCCCAAATACTCCAGAACTTTCATCTTGGTGGTTTCAGCGTGGGCACGTGGGCCCCACAGGAACTCGTAGCGTGCAGGATCACTGTCGGGCACCTGCCGGTACTCCAGGTAGTTTTCCTGCACCCAATCTTCAGTGATGAGCTTCCTGGGCTCCCCATAGATGGAGTGCTCGCTCCCAGGACACACCCCGAGCATACTCAGTGCTTCCCACATGGACTCCTCAGAGGTGCAGTTGCCCTCCATGAAGATCAAGCCCAGGATGCTAATCAGGAGGCCAGTCTTAGGCATGCTTTGGTCATCACTCTGCATCCCATCATAGGTGAGGCCCAGGCAGATGCTGAGGCTGTAGGCGTGGCCGGCAGGATCCACTTCCTTCACTTCAATGCCATAGACCAGCTCCAGGCACTTAGAGACTCTGCTGAGGATGGCAGGGAATTGGTCCTCGTAATTTTTGAGGACACCATTCAGCATTTCTTCCTTTGTGATTGGCTCCTTCATTCGATACTTGAGGAGCAGGAAATTTAGCAAATCACTCATTGTCTCCTCGGGTGCATCCTGGAGCAAGGACTCAGAGACTTCCGCATCCTGCGAGGTGCTCGGGCCTGCCTC